AACAGAAGTAAAATGATTCAATAGACATTTTAATTCTGTGAACAGAGGGTTGGAGATGGGCGAAGGGAAGTTATGGAATTGAGTTAGAGGGTTCTAGCATGGGCAGTTGAAAGGTGTTGGGTGTTGTCATTACCCCTAAGGAATAGCAGGGTTTTTTGAGGAGGGGTGAATTGAGGTACATGGGGATCACTGGCACAGGCTAGTTGGTTATATGCATCTTGAGCTTACTTAAAGGAGAAGTCTGGGTAAATTGTGTCTGCTTATATTGCCACAGGATTGGGTTCTTGTTTTTAAACTGACAAGCTTGTTTTCTTTTTGTGAGCATGCCTTTAAATGTTTCTAGAAGCATATCTTTTTAAAAAACCAAATTAAATCCTCCCCCATGTAAATATTATTTACCCAGCTAGATCTTAGATATGAGAACAAAGATCCTACTTACAGCAGTCTCTTGTAATAAATACTAAAATGTATGCTTGTAACAGGAGCCCTTAACTTTTTGGCACAGTTACTACCTAAGTACTCAGATTTCTCTGAGTGATGTGGCTGTGACTTACATTCTGATCCTCTAAAGTCATTGCCAGGCTTGTCTGACCCTACTGCCACGCAGCTGGGACAACCTTTACTAGAAGATAGCCCAAAATATCTTTCATTTAACTAAGTTGCTAAAATACTTGAAAATGAGCTATTCTCACTTATGTTAGTGAGGTACTACATGTAGACTTTTTTCTCTTCCTTATTGTAAACAGAAAATCACCCCAAAGATAGAAGGAAAATGGTCCTCATGTTATTTTTTGTTCTATTAGAAGACAATGTGACATATATTGGAAATGGCCTTTCCACGTAAACTTTTATTCTTTGACTGGATTGAAGGTTGTTGCTTACTGGTTCAAGCCTGCCAGTTTTAGCATAATCCCAGCCTGACCTGCATTGAGCGGGCTGTTATTAAAACCTTTATCTACAGTGTCAAAAGTATTTATTTCCTTCACAAATGGTTACTCTTCTTGGTGACTTCTTAATGACTTATAAACTAAAATTGTATCTTGAACAAGGTAAACAATGTGGCTTTTTGTTATATAGGACAAAATAAGTTTTCAAAGTGCAATACATTTTCTCGTTTTGATAGACTGCTTGGAAATTTAGTATGAACATATAGACAAGTGTGATTGCATTTGTGATAATGTTTCACACAATTATTTTTATAATTTTAGTTATTCCTTTATTCTTTTTATAATTTTAGTTATTCCTTGAACTATCAGAGGAAAAGCTTACACCATGATGCAGTAAATTTTGTTGGCCAAATGTTAACCAAGCCACCATTATCTTTTCATCATTGTATTTCAAATTTAATTGTTAATTTATAATATTTTGAATAAAGAACATATTTACATGGTTCAAAATCAAAATGCTATTTTTTTTAAAAAAATGCCCTGAGAAATTTTGTTCCTACCTGTTCCCATCTACCTTTTCTCTTTAAGCGCATTATATGTAACTATTTTTTATTAAATTCTGTTTATTCTTTCAGACTTTATGCAAAAAGCTACTTCAAATATGTATTCTTATTTCCTCCTCCTTTTACTCAAAAGGTAACATACTGCTATTTTGCACCTTGGTTTCTTTTTAAAAAAAATTTTATACTCTGGAGTGTTCTCCATATCGGTCAGTACATAAAGATATTCCTTATCTGTTTTTTTACTGTATAGTATTCATTTGTGGGTATATGCCTTAGTTTATTCAACCAGTCCCCTGTTGCCAGGCACTTGAATATGTTCAGTCATTTGCTATCGTAGGCAATTTCATAGTGAATAACCTTGTTACATGTATTATTTCATATGTATGCAGGTGTCTCGATTATTTAGATTCCTAGAAATGTGTTTGCTTGGTGAAAGGGTAAATGCATCTGTAATTTTGATTGATATTATTGAATTACCTTCATATAAGAGTTATACATTTTGCATTTCCACCAGTAATAGATGAGGGCCCTTGGAATGCCCTTCTTCCCCCACAGCTTAACAAGAGAGTGGTAGGTCTTAAATGAGATTTTGCCAATCTGAAAAGAAATGCTATCTCACTATATTTTTTATTTGCATTTCTGTTTTCATCAGTTAGATTAAGCAGCTTATTGTATGTTTGAAGGCCATTTGTATTTCTTTTTTACATGTACTTGCCCATTTTTCTATTAGATTGTTTCCTTTATTTCTAGGAATTCCTTGTATACGTTTCTGGATTTTTTATTTTGTTCCATTGATCTGTCTGTTCATTTGCCACTTCCATACTTTTAATTCTTGAGGCTTTGTAAAGTATGCTTTAGTATCTATTAGGAATGTTCTCTCAGTGCTCTTCTTTTTCAAACTTTTTCTGGTAACTATTAATTATTTTTCAATACGATCTTTAGATTCAGCTAGTCTAGTTCCTGGAGGACAAAAAAAGTTATTTTTATAGGGTTTGTGTAAATGATAATATCTTAAGGAAAATTGATACCTTTATGATGTTTAATCTGTCTAAGAATATGAATATAGCTTTCTCTTTATTCAGACCTACTTTCATTTCTTTAAAGGTTTGAAAAGTTTTCTTCATAAGTTTGTATATTTCTGGTTAAATGAAAATATGCAGGTATTTTATTCTGTTGCTATTGGAAATGAAGTTGTCTTTTGTATCTTCTGCTGTTGTTTGTATATATGTTATATATATGGAGATTATTGATTTCTATACATTCATTTTGTAGCCTACCATCTTACTGAATTCTCTTATGTTTGTAATCACTAATTCTTTAAAGCACATTTGAAAGAGTTGGTAGGTACTGTACTGTATAGGATTGCTTTTAGTACTAAGGTCTTGGTTGAGAGACCTTATTACGCTCTACATTTTTCCTGGTGTAGATATTGTAGCATGATGACCCCTAGCAAGTTACAAAGGAATCATTTCCTCATTTTGACTTGAAATCTCAAGTCGTTTTTTTTTTTTTTTGAGACAGAGTCTCACTCTGTTGCCCTGGATAGAGTGTTGTGGTATCAGCCTAGCTCACAGCAACCTCAAACTCCTGGGCTCAAGCAATCCTTCTGCCTCAGCCTCCCGAGCAGCTGGGACTACAGGCATGTGCCACCATGCCTGGCTAATTTTTTCTATATGTTTTTAGTTGGCCAATTAATTTCTTTCTATTTTTAGTGGAGACGGGATCTCGCTCTTGCTCAGGCTGGTCTCGAACTCCTGACCTTGAGCGATCCTCCTGCCTCAGCCTCCCAGAGTGCTAGGATTACAGGCGTGAGTCACCGAGCCTGGCCTCAAGTCTTTACTTGATGAAAAATGGTAATTTATTGTGTTAACGGTGATGTAAAATCCAAACATTTACTGGTATACATTACACCTTAGTTAAGTCAAATAACAGAGTCAGCACATTTGTTTTTAAATGATTTAGTAATAAAATGATATCTCATAGATTCTTCATCAAATGTAGTACAGTTATTGTGATTATTTTTTTTTCCTTATACATATAGCAAGTGTAGGAGATCTACAGGACTTCACTAATTTAAATGTTTAAAGGCAGGTTTATATCGTGACTAACCAAGGCTTTGCACCAGTAGGCCCTACTTTAAACAAGAGTTTTTTGGTTTTTTACATTTTAGAAATAGAGATCTATTTATCTTAGTAAGAAGGATTCTTTGGTATATGAAGTGAAAAGAGACATTTGTTTCTGGGCTAGTATTTTTGCTAAAATAGTTATATGAAAAGTGTTTATCCTCATATATTAAAAATTGGGGTCATGAAGTTAAAACACATAGTTTTAAGTAAAAAGTATAAAAAATATTTAGAAGTTCAGAAACATAAACTAAATTGTCTTTTATTTTACTCAAGGGGCCACTGAAGTATTAGGCTGTTTGTATACAAATACTTATAATTTCTTTCCCTGGTTTTCTGATATTTTAATATTTAAGTATACCTGTATTCTACATAGTGAACACTGTATCTGTCACCCTGAACTTTTTAATAGCTCTAATCATACATATATTAAAGTTTTCAGGCTTTAAATCAAACATATATGTCAGAAACTATTTTGAAGAGTAATTGAAATCTTATTTTCTCTCCCTCCTTTTAACTAAATAGATGGAAAGAATTATTTGATAAAGTGTTTTCCAGAGCCCTTGGTAATGTAGCATATTTGGATTTCTGATTCTTTTTTGATGAGTGTGAGAAAAGTGAAAATTGGAGTGAGTGTAGAGCGCTACGGTAGATATTAGTAAACAAAGTTTTGTTATGTCACACTAAATGGTAATGGGTAAATAGGATAGTATGGATATCTTCATATTTGGGAAATCACATTTATCCTAAAAGAACAAAGGCAGTAAATTGTTAAAGGTGAATTAGATGACACCTAGTAGTAAGAAAGGGTGCTGATAGTTTAGCCTAGATCAAATTATATAATTTCTCTGTTGTAAGAGATGAGTTTTAGAAGCATTCTGTTTTCTTTTTTAGATAAACAAAAAAGCAAATATCAGATAATGGAAAAGGCTATTTGCTATATAGTCTAATTAAAACCATTATGGGGTAACTGTGCATGTGTGCGTGGGTGCGTGTGTGTGCAGGTTATTTGGTAAAATCCACTTTTTATGTACTTTGTCAACAGCAAGTTCTTAGTTTCCACTCCTAAATCTTTTGGTATTTTTCACATATAAACAGCCCATTGCAGATGGCTTTATTGCACATTATGGTATTACTGCTATTTTATGAGTTGGTATTACTTCTTGAATGGAAACAGTGGCATCTATTTTTTTTTAATTAAACTGATATTAGAATGCTAGAAGGTTGTTTAATTTCATCAGTGTATATCTAAACTACTAGTGTATTTGCTCTTAACATTAAATCAAAGGATAGATTCTAATTGATGCCACAGTGGAATCAATCTTTTGTTGTTTTTGTTTCAGATATTAAGAGTTATATTGTGAAATTCCTATTTCTGGGAGAATAATTAGAGAGTTTAATGGATTTAAATTCCTTCTGACCCACAGGAAGGCCCCTTTCCAGGCCAGTCTCAAGAAACTCTGGGAGGAGGATATAGCACTGACCAAGGGTGATAGAAACTCTTTGTCCAACTTCCTTGCTTCAGCACTAAAGATCTGTGTGAGATTATCATGCGAAAATACAAGCTATCGCACCAAAATGTGGTACCTGAAAATAAAATTCTTCAGCACCGGTGAGATCAGTTCAAGTTATTGTCAAAGATCTGGGTCGCTAGCTGCTGCCATGCCATCTCTGTTCAGTCTTGTCTTTGGCCTCATACCCACATTCTCCCTATCTTATTCTCTGAACTGGTCCACTTCTTTTTTCCATAATCGTTGTTTACATTTCTTTTTCCTGTCCATCTGGCCAAGCTCTTTTATAACTTATTTGAGAATATGCTGTCTTACAACTTGGCAGCCTGAGTGAGCTCGGGTCCCACTTTGTTGGAGAGGAATGGCCCTGCTCCATTATAGCCCCGCCCTTTGAAGACTGTTCTAGATACCTCTGGATTAAAAGTGCAACAGAAAACATGGCTATTTATTCTTGAAAATAATTAAGCAAATATAATGTAGTTCTTGGTAATTTTTGTTCTAGACAACTGTGGCCTAGAAAACCTGGAATAAAGTAGAATTTTAACCATTTCCCTCCATTCCCATTAAGTTATCTTAGTTCAGGCTGTCCTCATTTCAGGCCTGCTCTGGTACAATATGTCCTTAGAAGTAGCAGTAACAGAAGGAAATGAGATGTTGAAGGGTGTTGGGGAACAGAGGAGAAATGTGAAAAAGTGGTATTCATATTGGTCATTCTCTTATATTAGGCAAATTTTTAGTGAAAGGAAGAGTAATGATAGAAAAATTTTTGTATATTATGACAGAAAATAATGATTTTTTTTTTCTCCTGAAACAGAGTCTCACTCTGTTGCCCCAGCTAGAGTGCTGTGGCGTCAGCCTAGCTCACAACAACCTCAAACTCCTGGGCTTAAGCAATCCTTCTGCCTCAGCCTCCTGAGTAGCTGGGACTACAGGCATGCACCACCATGCCCTGCTCGCTCTCTCTCTCTTTCTCTCTCTCTCTCTCTCTCCCTCTCTCTCTCTCTCTCTCTCTCTCTATATATATATATATATGTATATATATATATATATATTTTTTTTTAGTTGGCCAATTAATTTCTTTCTATTTATAGTAGAGACAGGGTCTCGCTCTTGCTCAGGCTGGTTTCAAACTCCTGACCTTGAGCGATCCTCCCGCCTTGTCCTTCCAGAGTGCTAGGATTAAAGCATGAGCCACTGTGCCTGGCCTAAAAAAAAGTTTCTAATATTGCTAGGAATGCTTTGTAAGAGTAACATTCAAAGAAGAAGCTAAGTTAGTCTGTCTTATAAATATATTTGACTTATTTTGAAATTTATTGTAGTGGAAAAACATGTGTTTTTCCTTCTCATTTCACTGATTTTAATGAAAGATATACAGTTGACCCTTAAACAACATGAGTTTGAACTGCGTGGATCTTCTTATGTGAGCTTTTTTCAAGCAAGCTCAGGATGTGAAACCCACATGGAGAGGCTGACTTCATATATATGGGCTACTATGGGACTTGAGTAGGCACAGATTTTTGTATATGTGGGGCTTCTGGAACCACGCCCCAGAGTATACTAAGGGACACTATATATCTAGCCCTTAAATGTAGCCACATAATTTTTAGTAATATTTTCCTTCATTCCAGATCTAAACATAAGTGATTTTGAATTTAAAAAATGAAGTTTGCAGTTACATACTTTTTCTGCTATGTAAGTCAGATAAATTCTGATTACTACAGGCAAAAATGGATTCTGAAATGGATAGGTGCTAGTTTTATGACTGATATATTTGAAAGGTATATTCTTTTATAAGATAGAAATTATCTTAATTAAAAGGCTTCTAAGGAGACACAGGTTTTATTGGATAGAATATTTTGTGTGCTTTTATAATTTACTTTATTTGGACTACCAATTATCTGCATAAATAAACTTTCAGTTTATTTTATATATTTGCCATCAGTTTTTACAGTCTATTTTTTATTCACTATATCCATAGGTGAAGCCCTCGGTGATTTAATTAAAACACATTTTCTAACAAGCTCACTTACCAGTTTCTCCGTCCTACAACAAATTAGAAAGGGGGGAGGGCTCTAAGCATCACACTTGACAACAAGAAGTAACCACTGACAACCTGATGACAGAGAAAGAACTAAAACACTCCAAGTTAAATAGGCAGAACAGTCCAGATTTATTTACAGAAGTGGTTCTTAACCTTTGTGATATGAGCACCTGTCTTACTCCATTTTATGCTGCTATAATGGAATGCCTGAGACTGGATAATTTATAAAAAACAGATTTTTTGTAAACCTGGAACACCGGTTAGCGAGGTATTATTCTGTATTTTCATTAAATAAGCTCCATTTTAGCATTTAGTCAGTGATGTCCTGGAGTCTTTTTGTACTGTTGAGATTATGAATATTTCTTCCTAATTCCCTGTTAAGAAATGCCAGGTTGGTAGTCTGCCTTGGTGGGAGTGTTTATACTACCAAAATCCTATAAATCAAGGCTGGCTCTGCCTGCACTCCCCCAAGCAGGTTTTTAAACATTTACTAGCGCACAACTGATTTTAATTAATCATTCAGCAAACATTTTTTAAGTGCCTGTTGTGTTCCAGACACTGTTCAGGGTGTCAAGGATATAGCAGGGAATGGACAGTGTTTAATTAAGTGAATATATTTTTCTAACTCCTCTATTTTCTAATAAATTAGGGAATTATTAGGGGTTCCTTAGGCAAATAATGATGGCACAGTCCAACAACAACAAAAAAAAAGGGGAACAATTTTCTTTACTGCAGCACCTTCCAAATCTTTTAATGTACTGTTGGGCACATCAAAAGAGAAGAGAATATAGTAAGTATTATTTTCAATACTTAACCAAGGAAGTCTCTAGTTTTTTCCTGAATATATTTCATATCTTTCAGAATACTTTGCTGCTGCTCCAGGACAGTCACATCCCAGATACCAGGAATTGATGAATAAAGGTCATTACTCATGGGATGTAGGTCAGAGTAGGGGCAGGATTTCTGAAGACACTTTCTACCATCTGTTTATAGGAGGGTGATTTGTAGGTTGTGGATTGAATTATTTTATTGATGAAGCTCTGAACTATTCTATTCTATTTCATTCTATTTCATTTCCAGTATTTAAAAGAAAAAGCATTTTATGTAATGAAAATGTATTGCTCTAACTTATATTATTATTAATTTTAGAAAAATTCTTTCCCTTCTAATCTGCAATTTCTGATTTGGGAACAATTAATGATATGTGCATGTGAACTTCTGCCACCAGCTGCTCTCTGTTGCTAGATTTCTTCTCTGCCCTACACATCTCTTCTTCCAGAGCCTGCCCCTGTACTGGGAGTCGCTTAAACCCCATTCATCTACCATTTTACTTCTGCTAGGCTACAGTGTTTCTCAAGGTGTGATTCATAGGCTGTTGATTGAATCAAAGTCATCTAGGTGACATTGAAAACCACAGGTTCCTGGGGCTCACCCCAGATCCGCTGGTTCAGAATCTGTATGTATAGGTATGGAGGTCAAGAATCTATAATTTAAAGTGAATCCATAAGTGTTGTTTATTGAGTTGTTTAATTTTCATATTGAGTTGTTAAATTCCAGTTTTTGGTAGGGTATACAGTATTTCTCAGCATAGGTGCCGTTGACATTTTAGCCAGGACTGTTGTTGTGCTCTGCAGGCACAACAGGACTTTCAAAATCCTTGGCTGCTACCTACCAAATGCCATTATTGTCCAAATGCCTTCCACATTGCTAAATACCTCCTTTCCATCTTATGGCATAGTTATCCTCCTCAATAACGAATCACTGCCATATGCTACTTTCATTATTCTAGAAGTTGCTCTTAATAGTTTAATATTAATATATTAGCCAAATTACTCACTAACTTTGCTTACTTCCCAAACAGTACAAAGTCTTTAAAGTGATTTAACTTCAGTTCCACCTTCCCATTTCTGTGGCATTTTGTTCAGTTTTTGAATTCTAGCCTTTTATAATTTGCATAGACATCATTATTGTTGCTTTCTGTAGTCATCTTGTTTATCTCTACCCAAGATTGCCAGTTTATTTGATTGATACTCCTTCTTGCATTTTAAACTTTGCTTCTGAGAATTTTTTTAACCTGAAATATACCTATTAAAAGAATGTATTATTGCATGTCTTTTGGTGTAAACTCTGTTTTTGTTAGAAAATGTCTTTATTTTGCTCTATTTCTTGAATTATGTTTTACCTGAGAATGTAATTCTAGATTGACTTAATTTTTCTTGGCACTCTGTTATTCTATAGTCTTTCTGGCTTTTATTGTTTCTCTGAGAAGTCTAATTGTTCCTTTATAGATAATATGACTCTTTTTCTCTGAGTGCTTTTAAAGATTACCTCTTTGTCTTACTAGTTTCATATGCTACATCTAGATATGGATTTCTTTTTTATTTATTCTCTTTGGGACTGTGTCTCCTGAATCTGAGGTTTTATGTCTTCTATGCATAATTCTGGAAAAATTTCAGCCACTATGTCTTGGAATATTGGTTTTCTATTCTTTCATTCTGAGATTTTAATTATATATATGCTAGACCTTTTTATCCTATTCTTCATGTCTCTTAATCTCTCATATTTTCTATTTCTTTCTCTTTGCTGCTTCAGACATGTCATTTAGTTCTACTCCACTTAGGTTTTTAATTTCAAGTATTGCATTTTTTTATTACCAGAAATTCTGTTTTGTTCTTTTTTTGTTCCTGTCTGCCAAGTCATTTTTGTTAGTCTCTTGTTTCTGGTGCATGTATTTAATACCTTCTTTTATTTCTGTAAACTTTTAAAGCATACTTTTTTTTTTTTTTTTTTTTAAGACAGAATCTCACTCTGTTGCCCTGGCTAGAGTGAGTGCTGTGGCATCAGCCTAGCTCACAGCAACCTCAAACTCCTGGGCTCAAGCGATCCTGCTGCCTCAGCCTCCCGAGCAGCTGGGATTACAGGCATGTGCCACCATACCCGGCTAATTTTTTCTATATATTTTTAGTTGGCCAATTAATTTGTTTCTATTTTTAGTAGAGATGGGGTCTCCCTTTTGCTCAGGCTGGATTTGAACTCCTGACCTTGAGCTATCCACCCACC